AGGGAGACTCTAAAGACCATATAAATATGGTCTTCAAAGTGATTTGGGAGGAAATATCTATCAAATGCTTAATGGCTCAACAGCATTGCCATCAAGGGCTTGTGAAAGTCTTTGCTATGACACTGTTTGGCAGTAAAATAAAATCTTTTACAGGTTGAATAAGTCTCTTAAAATGTATTTGCATGCTTGCATGACACACCTCAAATTGCTGAACTTGCAATTGCCATTTTGCCAACACTGCTGTTTAGAAACAGACTTTTTCATGTTGAAGTATAGTTACAGACTCAGGCAACTGACACACCTAAAATTTAAAAGGAAATAAGTGCTTTGGCACCTGTTTACTCGCATTTTGATCAAACTTGTAGCTGTGCCTCACAGTAATTTATTTTGCTGTAGGCTCAAGTCCCAAAAGACTTGTCTCAAAAGACTCGGGTCTTAAGCTCTCCTTACTGAGCTGCAGTGTGTGTGCGTATCCTCATTTAGATAGTGCTTTTGTGGCCAATTTAAAGTAAATCAGGAAACAAGAGACTTGTGCCTATTTGTCTTGGAGAATCTGCATGCTATAAAGTGCATTACTCATCTCAAATGGTTCCTGAGCTTCGTGCATCGTCCTTAAGGGACAGTTCAACAAGAGAACAAACAGGATTCTAAATGTTTTGGGGTGTTTCAGAGCTTGATACATGAGGTCTTCATTAAAACCTATGTAAAAGAGATGCTGTAAAGAAGCATGTTCAGTTTGGAAAGGGAGGAATAAGGGTTTTTTTTTTTTTTTTTGGTGTGTAAGAGTAAGCTCTAGACATTGCCTAAAGCATCTTAACTATTACTTTATTTTTCTGCTTTCTAATTCATGCTGTTCTCTAGGTGGCCTTCCATCTTATTTCTCTTTCTAGCATTTTGTTTTGACTTTCTTCAGCTTTCCCTGGGCAGTCCTTTCAATTTTCAATTTAGTGTCTATGGTCTTAGAAGGCAGATCAATCTTTAAGGTTTTTAGTGGTAAGATTAGTCCTTTAATGTCAGCATATTCTTATCAACAGTTTTGTGTTTACTTTTTTGACTGAATTGGTATTTGTTGAAAGTGTTTTTTTTATAATAGCATTGTATTTGTTGCAACAAGATTGTCTTTGTGAACTTTTAAGTTTTATAGCATGAATAGAGGAAAGTCAGTGAATATGTGGATCTCTAACTCTGTTTATTACAGTTTTTTACCTCTTGCCAAAGTTTTCCTACATTTAGCAATACAAACTTAGTTGAACAGTCATTCATCTGCCTAAGTGAAATATGCTTGTGTTGTTAAAGTGAAATGGTATAGATCTGGTTTTGACAGGGAGATGGATGGACCGTTTGAGTGGTAAAACGTTTTTTTAATATTGAGAAACCACCTTGCCTACAAGCAATAAGGTAATTTTTAGTAACAAATGGCAAATATTTTTCTTGCTAGAGATTCCACCATTTGTTTTCGTGCTGCGTGCCATGTTCTGCTCGTGATGCTGCAGGAAGCAAACGCAGGGCTGTGGAAGAGCCGCTCGCGACGGCCGCAGCGGGAACGCGCAGCGCGGGGAGCCGCGTGGCCGGGGGACGCGCCGCTCACCCACCGCGTAAGGGCAGTTACTTAATCACTTATAGAACTGCTGAGGGTTAAAATTCAGCACCTTCCTGACCCTGGAGAATCCTTTAATTAAACCATTAATAGATGGCAGCACGAAATGAAGGTGGAGAATGGACTGCGTTCAGAGCAGACTAGTGTTCAGCACTGGACGCGTGATCCTTGTTCCTGGGGCTGGTGGGGCTTGGGGCAGGGGTGGGCGGCTGGTTTTTGCTTTGGGTCAGTGCATACCTATGTAAAGAGATAATCTCGCCTGGTTTCACTCTTGAATATGTTCCAACATTCCAGCATTTCAATTGGCTGAAAAAGAGTGATAATTGGAAGGTGGTTGACCGTTAATGAACGATGCTAAGTAAGACCTTGGTTGAGAGATGCAGTTAAGGTGGCTGTCTACCCTGAAAGGGGTAGTTATTTTAAGACCTACACAGTTGTCAGTGTCTTAGTAGTATTTGTGAGTACATAAAAAAGGGAAATGGAACAGGAAAATGCTGAAGATTTTTAAGACAGAATTGTTTCAAATTTGCAAGTTTGGTTTTCAATTCTTTAGGGAAGTTATTTTTTTGAATGGATAGGTGTGTGAATATTGCATTTTTCCCTATACTTTAGATGTATTTTCCAATATGCGTTCATGATTAATGTTGCAAAGCCAGTTATAGCTTTTCTATAATTATCTTTTTCATATTTTTCATCCTTTTGTTTGAAGGTCAGCAACATAAATACACACATAAATATGCACATTATATAAAATAATAAAACACCTGTGCTACCGCCACTGGTTAATAGTGGTGGAAAGGATATTATTTTTTACAGATTCAACATTTCATAATAGTGCAGTTACCTTGGTTTTAAGGTGCAGATGACCTTCGTATTAAGACTGATTTTGTTCCCTAGGGTGCTCTGAGGGTCTTGGTGAGTCCTGTGAGAATCACTCCGGCGACGGTTTCGTTAAATTTCCTTTCTGAACTGATTTCTGAACTGATTTCCTTTCTGAACTGAGAGTCTTTCTCCCTTTCTCCCTGTGTGTTCTGCTCGAGGAGGAAACTCCAGTGCATCGGGGTCGCTGAACGCTGTTTAATGCCCCATCTGGGGGGACGGCAGGGCATCAACGACTGTTTGTACCCTCTGTCAGAAGGATGAAGGACTCGAGCTCAGTTATTTGTGTGCTAACGGGGCAATGGATGTCTAGTGATGTGACAGATTTGCTAATGATACCTGACAGAAGTATCACACAGGAATAATTGTAGAGAGCTCCTCTCTAATGCGGGTTTTTGCAAAGAAAATGTTTTCGTTTTATAAGATCTAGACAGCAGACTGCAGTGTTACAAAAGATTGAGTTCAGGTGCCTATTTGAAGTTCCGTTCCTAGGATGGAATAGAGAGTATTACTGCATGTCATTATAGTTTGAAGCAATGTTATGTCTTTCAAGACATTTAATTTGCTAATAGATTTTGTATTTTAACTCTTCGCTTCAAAACGCTTCAGGAATATTTTCACAATTCATCTTAGAAGATATTGAGATTGGTTGTTAGTTATGCATAAAAATCACTTTATTGCTCTGCTCACCCAACTATAGCTATCTATACAAAACAATCTGTGTAAATGATTTTGGGGTTTTAGCACATCTTAGCACTACATATGTTGATATTTATTTTTTCTTTTTTCTCATTAACCACTGAGGACATCTTTATAAAAAAGATCCTATGGAAAAAGGATTGGCTTAATTAAATTCTAAGCATAATTAATGACTTGGCTTGCTTTGCAAAAGCATTGCTATGTGGGTGCAAAAACAATCTATTTTCAAAATATCCCTTTATATAAGAGGTTTTACCTTGTTTTCTTGCCTGCAGCTGTTCGAACATATGCATGTTTTCTGCTAGTGGTAACTCTCATATTTAGTTTTCCAGCTGGTGTGTAGCGTTGAGCTACTTGTGTCACATGAGGAAGGCTTTGCAAACAATATTTTATTTTCTACAAGCCTAGGTATAGTTCACGTAAGGAATTTCATCCGTTTCCAGATAGTTTACAATAGATTAACTATTTCCATAAGAAATCCTTTACAGGGCACAGCTTATGGAGTATTGTTATAATATTGCTGTGTTTTTCTTGGTGATCAGTTATGGGCATTTAATGAACAAGACCACAGATAGGAGGAACACAAATGGCTGTGAAATTTCCTAATAGATGCCTAAAAGTCTTGTGAAACATTCACTGAACGCTATCAAAATTGGCTCACTCGCATTTTAGTGGTCTGTGCAATAGTGCTGCACATTTGCTTGGGGTTGCTGTATGTGCTGGGAGTTACATAAGCCCCATCTCGCTCAGGACAGAGCTCTGGGGACAGGCAGCGATTTAGCTTCTACTGCAGGAAAAACAATCTATAAACCTGGGGAACAAGGAAAATGCACAGATCCAGATTTGGACCTGCAGTTAAATGTTACGCATCCAGGGTAACATCCAGTGCACCCTGCACGTGCAAACTGAACATTTAGAAATTAGGAGCACAAAAGCTTGCATAGCAAAGCGCTAAATAGGGAAAAAAGATCTAAACAGAATTTGGAACAAGATGTCTGGATTTAATAGTTAAGCGAAAAGTACCAATTTCTTAAATGGTGAACATGTAAGTAAATGAGCATCTCTGTAGTCAGATATCAAAATATTAAGAGATTTTCTTTGCAGCCCACATATGAAACAGTTACAAAGCCGGTAGCATAAATTTATACTCTGTAACACAGTTCAGTTTTGCTGCCTGTGTTTGCTTACTAGACCATGCACTGTATTGTTGTTCAGTCTTGTGCTGTTACACTGATTTTTGTCCTATATCATCAATTTTCACAAAGAGAGTTGAGAGCTGCTAATACTCTGCAAGTAGCAGCTCTCTGTAATGTACTAACTCCATCTGTTTTTTCATTATTATGGTAGGAAACTTGATGAATGTCAAAATGTTTTCCCTTGCCTTAACTAGATTTTAACATATAAATGTAAGGTGGTTAGAAATCCTTTTGCCTCCATATTGCTATTTTTAAGTATTAAAATTTTACTATTAGAATGAAAGAATTTATATATACACACACACACACATATATATATATATACACACATTTAGCACAAGAATTGCATCTGCACAGCGTTTCTTTTATTTGTGTGTGTGTGTTTTCTTTTTTTTAGGAAAAGTCATCAACAAAGATTTGCGTCACTACTTGAGCCTGCAGTTCCAGAAAGGCTCAGTAGACCATAAACTGCAGCAAGTGATCAGAGACAATCTCTATTTGAGAACCATTCCATGTAAGTATGTAAAGGTCAGCCTGCTTGTGCTGAACATAATTTAAGAGCTTTAAGTTCCTTCTTTCTTAATCAGGTTTATATTTTTACCTTTTCAGTAGAAATTTCTGTAAACAGCTTTGTCAGAATAATCTTTTATTGTAAGTTGCAGTCAAAAGTTACTACCAACATGGTCTGACAAAACGGCAGAAGTTTCAGAATTCAAAGCTCAGAGTATTTTGGTACTTTCCCAAAATTGGAGTCTGTCTAATTGAAAGTTTGCAATTTATTATGGATGTTGGAGTATCCGTAGCCGCCATGGAAAATAAATCATCCTCAGCATGATTAAGCAGAGTGAGCACATCGTGATTTTGGTCAATGTATTGTTTTTTGCACAAAGAGGAGATTAAGATCCCCAGGCTGTCACGTAGAGCTAGACAGAGGAGCGCAGCTGGAAGGAGGCGGTGCAGGAGGGATTATATAGAGAAAGGAGCCCCCACTGCTGCAATTCCAGAAGACAGAGGGGAAAGGCTGCTGGTTAATCCTGGAAAAAAGTAGGAGGTGGCAGCAGCAAGAGGGAGACTGAATCTGTGGCCTGGAGGAGGAGGAAGGAACAGGGTATGGACAAATGTAAGTGGCACAACAGGAATTAGCTAGTCAATCTCTGGATGCGCCGGTCTCTGCTGCCAGGCCCTTCTGCTCTGAGCGTGTGTTAGCGTCCCCCAGCCTGGCCCAGACAGGTGCTAACTCACCTTAACTCGGGACCTAAAGGCTGCTGCTTCTGAGAATGGAAAATCATTTTGTCTTTTTTTTCCAGTCACTGATCGGCCTCAGGTGCTTGGGCCCTCTCGCCCTGGGTGCCTGTCAGGCTCAGACTCTAGTGGATTTTAGACTTTGTTCTCTGAACTGCTCATTGGAGCAGGTTGCTTAAGATCACTCTTCTATTTAATTATCAGATACCCTTAAAGATTTCTCTGTACTTCCCATGTGAAAAAATTTACTGTCAACTTCAGAGACAGAGTAAAAGGAATATTCCAGGGAAGGAATAACCTTCAGGTGATGGGGAATCTTGTGGGTGGATTGTAGATGGTGCTTCCTGAGTGACTGAGACACAATGTTTAAAATACTCCCACAGTTTTTCTTAGTTAAATATGAAATTAGATGGCAGTTTCCATTGCTATGTGTGTACAGTAAAAGGGGATTTGCTTACTCTGCAGAGGGGTTGGGCTGTTCTGGGAGGGTAATTGTAGCTTCTAAAAACACTTCTAACTGTTTTGTTTGATAAAAACATTTGTAGAAAGCCCCTTTCAGTGTAACAGATGCTGACAACTACCAAACTGTCTTTGCTTTTTGCCCTTCCGTGCAGTTTCTTTTCTAAATTATCCTAAAATCATCCTTTACTTGTCTCAGAGGTTTACTGTTTAAAAAAGGCTTATTACCTGCTGTGCTTAAATATTCATTGCACAAGAAATTTAGAACAGCTTGTCAGCTAACATTTTTGTAACTACAGGAATTTCATCCTCAATTTAACATCATTATAATATTGATCATGCTCAGGAGCTTTTGGTTTTCTTAAAAGATGATAATATTGAAATGCAGTTTACTTACAGCTTAATAAACTAGTAAAGTCCTTTCTAGGAGAGTGTTAATTAAGCTATTTTAAGTACGGGAAATCCTATTCCTAGATTGAACACTCAAGAACTTCTGCACTGACACAGCCGTTTACTGGTTACTTTGAAGTTTTGCTTTATGACAGCTGATGTTTTTCCTTCCTTCAGGGGAAAAAAAAAAAAAAAAAAGTTTGTCTATAGGCAGGGTTTGGATTATAGGTGAATTGAACTCAGACCTGTGAGGTTAAGGAAAAGTCTCTGTGCTCGTTATGGATTTGGTGACCCAAAACTCAAGAGAGTGCTGTCATGCTGACTTCAATGCAAACTGAACTGGTAGGGGCACTCGAAAAATAGGAGAAAGATAAAGTATCCACACAAGTGTGTTAAAATACTATAGCTGTTAAGCGGTTCTTCAAAATCATGAACTAATATTGCCTTCTCCACCACCAACTACCATTCAATATGTTTTTGGTTGACAAAATATATAAAAAAGCTCTCTTCTTGCCACCTCATCCTGCTTTTGCCCTCTCCCCTTGATATCATAACTGTCATTCTTACATAATTTATTGCCCTAGTTTTTATAAGTTACAGTTTGCTTGCTTGCGAGTGTCTCTTATCTTCCCGAAATGACCATCATCGTATAAAGCTTCAAACAACTACTGTTTTGACTGAAGTTTACAGGCAACATTTTATAAACAAGCAGCATTTAGGCATCTTACAAGTGTGTTTTCTCTGTCTTTTCAGGCACTACAAGGGCTCCCAGGGATGGGGAGGTCCCTGGGGTGGACTATAATTTTATTCCTGTTGAACAATTCAAAGCACTGGAAGAAAGTGGAGCCTTGCTGGAAAGTGGAACATATGATGGTATGGTGATCCCATTTATCAGACCAGGAATATATCCAGGACTCATGACCACTATCTTTATCTCCCTAATAAAAATCATGTGAGCAGTCAGAGGGGTAGTCATTTGCCCAAATTATTTTCCAGAAAGCAACAGATGCTTCCCAATCTTTGTGATTTAGATGAAAATATTGGTTTACAAATGTGTTCTTTTTCTCAGGTAGAAATCATTTTGAGATGAAATGATATCAAGAGCTTTCCTGATGATAAGGCAGGGCTGTAGTTTTTAAATCAAT